AGGTTCCTTAAGGCGTGGATTTATTAAAGAATATTTTTGAAAAGGTTCCTTAAGGCGTGGATTTATTAAAGAATATTTTTGAAAAGGTTCCTTAAGGCGTGGATTTATTAAAGAATATTTTTGAAAAGGTTCCTTAAGGCGTGGATTTATTAAAGAATATTTTTGAAAAGGTTCCTTAAGGCGTGGATTTATTAAAGAATATTTTTGAAAAGGTTCCTTAAGGCGTGGATTTATTAAAGAATATTTTTGAAAAGGTTCCTTAAGGCGTGGATTTATTAAAGAATATTTTTGAAAAGGTTCCTTAAGGCGTGGATTTATTAAAGAATATTTTTGAAAAGGTTCCTTAAGGCGTGGATTTATTAAAGAATATTTTTGACTGAGGCTTGGATTTATTAAAGAATATTTTTCAAGGGCCAACTGAGGCGTGGATTTATTAAAGAATATTTTTGAAAAGGTTCCTTAAGGCGTGGATTTATTAAAGAATATTTTTGAAAAGGTTCCTTAAGGCGTGGATTTATTAAAGAATATTTTTGAAAAGGTTCCTTAAGGCGTGGATTTATTAAAGAATATTTTTGAAAAGGTTCCTTAAGGCGTGGATTTATTAAAGAATATTTTTGAAAAGGTTCCTTAAGGCGTGGATTTATTAAAGAATATTTTTGAAAAGGTTCCTTAAGGCGTGGATTTATTAAAGAATATTTTTGAAAAGGTTCCTTAAGGCGTGGATTTATTAAAGAATATTTTTGAAAAGGTTCCTTAAGGCGTGGATTTATTAAAGAATATTTTTGAAAAGGTTCCTTAAGGCGTGGATTTATTAAAGAATATTTTTGAAAAGGTTCCTTAAGGCGTGGATTTATTAAAGAATATTTTTGAAAAGGTTCCTTAAGGCGTGGATTTATTAAAGAATATTTTTGAAAAGGTTCCTTAAGGCGTGGATTTATTAAAGAATATTTTTGAAAAGGTTCCTTAAGGCGTGGATTTATTAAAGAATATTTTTGAAAAGGTTCCTTAAGGCGTGGATTTATTAAAGAATATTTTTGAAAAGGTTCCTTAAGGCGTGGATTTATTAAAGAATATTTTTGAAAAGGTTCCTTAAGGCGTGGATTTATTAAAGAATATTTTTGAAAAGGTTATTTAAAATGTGAGTAATGAGCAGGGAGATGTCTAAGTTAATGGGTCCTTATTCCACGTATGTAGGTGGGAAATGCTAATATGTAAGTGGATTTAGTTTAACCACCACTCAGTAAGACATTTATTTGGTCAATTGGTGGTATTCTTAACCCCTGCTATGGCATAAATGCCTAAAGTCTTTACATGATTTGGCCACATATCATCTTTGAAGTCCTTACATATTGTCATATAGAAATATGACCTATTGATATATGCTCTCTTAATGATGGGACATAGCTGTCACGCACATTCCGACCAATATAGCAATGTGAATGACCCACAAAAATGAGAAAATGTGTCCATACAATTCATTTTCATGTGTATTCGTAATTTTACAATAAAGACAATAAGATTTATGGTTATGTCGAAACAGAGCTACAGTGCACAATCATGTTCTAAATTTTTTGTTACAACAATTGCATTTTAACGACTTTTTTTAAATTTCGCACGAAAGCACGTGAATGCTTAAACTACATCATGAAATTTCAAAAAATAGGTAAATTAAAAAATATTGTTCGGTGTTTTCAGTTAATCGCCAATGACCACAAATCAGCGGAAAAGTAAATATGTTTAAAGAAAAGACTTGAATTTCTACCGAGCCGAAGTTCTAATAAATCGGTATTAAAAATTTTGTATCTAGAGTTTTTTGTATGAAGCGATTAATAAACTGAAATGCATTAAAGCTATAGGAAATTGAATCGATTTCATTCTAGACCTAATTCATTATGCTGTGCCAAATTTCGTGCAAACCGAAAGATATTAAGGGACACCATTTACCTTAAATCGGACGAAAATATATTTGGGAGCTATATCTAAATCTGACCCGATTTTCTCGAAACTTAGCGCACGTCGTTCTAGATTCAATTCAGTACACTTTGCCAAATTTCGTGCAAATCGCAAGATATTTAGGGACTTTGGTTAACCATTTACATTAAATCGGACGAAACTATATATGGGAGCTATATCTAAATCTGAACCGATTTTCTCCAATTTCAATAGGGTTCGTCCTTGGGTCAAATAAGTGAACTGTGCCAAATTTCATTCAAATCGGATCATAAATGCGACCTGTACATTGTTCACAAAAATACATGAACGGACGGACGTACATATGCATATTCTCAAAAGAAACCATGGGTCTATCTCGTTTCCTTTTGCCTTTTACAAACATATGCACAAAGGTATATTACCCTGTACATTGTCGCGAAGGTAATGAAAATCGGCCTATATTTAAAACGTTCTGCAAAGATGGGTTTCATCCTCCAAATCCCTGGGATACCAAATTAAAACTCCATATGGTTAAAAAATACAACAAGAACTATAAATCTCAACAGAAACATTTCTAGAAAAAACCAGTAAGGAAAGTAGTAAAGTCGGACAGGGCCGACTATATGATACCCTTCACCACTATGGGTATATTAAACAGGACTATTAGAATGAAATTGGATGAAATAAAATATGTGATATTTATCTAAATGTGAATCTACCTAGATCTATCCATAAAGTATGTAAATCGACTTCAAACAAATATAAATAGGTCATCCGTAGGGCTATGTCTGTAATTCTAGAAAACGCAACTATATAATTTTATGCTCAATTTTGTACGATGTGCAAACTTTGATGTCAATCTGTCTAACATGAGGAGTTTGATGCCCAATTTACTTGAAATCGGGCGAAAATATATATGGTGCGTTAATTACTTAAAATCAATCTATAACAAAAGGGACTATATCTATCTAAATCAGGACCGATTTTCACGAAACTTGGCAGACATCATTCTAGACCTAAATGATTAGGCTGTACCAAATTTCGTGCAAATCGAAAGATATATAGGGACTTTGGGGCACCATTTACATGAAATCGGATGAAACTATATATGGGAGATATATCTAAATCAGGACCGATTTTCATGAAACTTGGCAGACATCATTCTAGGCTCAATTATGTACGTTATGTCAAATTTTGTGCAAATCGAAGGATATATAGGGACTTTGGTGCACCATTTACATGAAATCGGACGAAACTATATATGGGAGCTATATCTAAATCTGGACCGATTTTCTCGAAAGTTCAGTACGTTATGCCAAATTTCGTGCAAATCAAAAGATATATAGGGACTTTGGGGCACCATTTACATGAAATCGGACGAAACTATATATGGGAGCTATATCTAAATCTGGACCGATTTTCTCGAAACTTGGCAGACATCATTCTAGGCTCAATTCAGTACGTTATGCCAAATTTCGTGCAAATCAAAACATATATAGGGACTTTGGGGCACCATTTACATGAAATCGGACGAAACTATATATGGGAGCTATATCTAAATCTGGACCGATTGTTACGAAACTTGACAGACATCATTCTAGGCTCAATTCAGTACGTTATGCGAAATTTCGTGCAAATCAAAAGATATATTGGGACTTTGGGGCACCATTTACATGAAATCGGACGAAACTATATATGGGAGCTATATCTAAATCTGAACAGATTTTTACGAAACTTGGCAGACATCATTCTAGACTTAAATGATTGGGCTGTACCAAATTTCGTGCAAATCGAAAAATATATAGGGACCGTTTACATTAAATCGGTTAAATATATATATGGGAGCTATATCTAAATCTGAACCGATTTTTCCCAATTTCAATAGGATTCGTCCTTGGTCCGAATAAGTGACCTATGCCAAATTTCATCCAATTCAGATCATAAATGCGACCTGTACTTTGTTTACAATTTAACATGGACAGACTGACGGACGGACGGACATGCATAAATCGACTTAGAAGAGATTCTATGTATATTCTCAAAAGGAACCATGAGTCTATCTCGATTATTTTTGCCTGTTACAAACATATGCACGACACACCATAGTAGGTGTGTCGTGGTCCGTATTTTGGATGTTGAATCACATTTATGCATAGAATTTATATAGATATATATTTCGACATAAAGGTCCCGCACCATTTTCGGTGTTTTAAAGGTTCCGCCATATATTCGGCACTATGAAAGTTTATACGAATATCTCGAACGATTTTATTTTTTTGAAGCTCATATCCTTTTTCCCTCGGATAAAATGCTTCTTAATGAAAATTGACAAATTTTTAGAATTATGAAGATTTTCCAATCGAATTGTATGCAACTTGACATAGTTCTCAGAATGTAAGTTTTTGTTTTAAGATATCTCCCTTATTAAAGACCCGACCGCTTTAGGCATTTTAAAGGTCCTGCCCTCATTTCCATCCGAAATAGTTGTAATTTTTGATTTCGGCTTAACAGGGGATATAATATTCGATATTGATTTATAGGTCTTCTTAGAATGATCATTTTGTTTCATTTTGTTGTTTTAATCCATGCTCGCAACTAGGGCTTCCAAGGACTCTTTGGCTAACTGGCGTATTCGGTCAGTCAGTTTTCAGCGTAAAATAATTTGGGGCGCCAATAGTCGCCTACTCAGTCCAAAAATCATTGGAACTCGGGCAATATATCTATTGGACTTCCCACTATCCGCTTTCACAGGTTGCAAATATATATTAGAGATAGGCGGAAATTCGTAATTCTATTTAATTTAATTGTTCTGAAAATAACTCCATATAACTTCTTGAAATTTCTCCATAACTTCGAAGTTCTTTACATCGAACTTAAAGTTTACTAAAAATAAATTATTTCTTATTATTTCAGTACCAAATCTTCCCAAACACCTACGGATAATAATGAAAACAACGACAACAGCAACACTACACCAAAACCGGAAGAAGAAGACCAACAACAATTAAACAATGAAAACGAGATCGAACAAGTATCGCAGAAAACCCCAAGCGGTTCAATAAAATCCGGCTCATATTCATTAAAATCAACAGCATCGGCCCAGTCGAGTACCGGCAGTCGAAGTTTGAAAAATGGAACACCCGAAAGAAATACAGCAACTGCGGAGGAGGTTAAAAGCCTCAAGGATGAGCAGGAAGAAATTGCACCGATCTTAACTACCCCCCTAACAACAGTGGAGGCAACCCTAAGTGAAGTGGCAGACGACCGAGAAGTTGATAGTGAATCACCAAGTAAATGGCGGACGGGTGAAGAAGTTCTGCAACTGGAAGATGTGGTAGATCAAGATGTCGTTATGGAATCGGTTGTGGAAGAAGTTGAAGAGGTGGAACATAAAAATGAAAATCTTCAACGTAATGGTAGCATGGCTAGCTTACACAGTAAAACGGAGAGTATTAAGACGCTGATAGGTGACACTCCTCCGGTATTGTCGCGAGCACAGTCTGCTAAATCTCTGGCGATTGAAGAAGAAATTGAAGATAATACCAGTTTTGTGCTTGTTGAAGATACCGCCGATGAAGATGAGGTCGATAAGAATCTGGTGATTGAAGAGACCACTGAAGACTCAGAGGAGGCTGTGAGTAATGATACTGCCATTGTTTGTTGTTCTAAACCGAATAGTGGTGGTATTTCACGACCCCAAACCAGTCGTTCGAGATCGCCGACAATAGAAGAAATCAAGGCATTGTCGCGCAGAAATTCCATGATCAAATCTATGGAATCGTTGTATGAACGACCTACATCCAAACAGGATTTCAATGATAATACCACCGAAACCAGCTCGCAATCTAGTGCTCAGCTGAATAGTAGTTTGGGTTCCGCCATCATACCGGTGGTTACTGCTGCGGTAATTAAACCCCAACACACACCCTTGAAACAGAAGTCGAAGACAACACATTTTCTTAAGAGCCATCGACGCATCTCACCCGTAAAACAATCAATAAAGGTGGTCCAGGCGGAATTGTATCCCCAAACTTTGCAGAAATTCGAAAAGCCCCGAGAGGCCATATTGAAAACATTCGATCAATTGGATTCCAGTAATTGGGAAGTAATAATGGTGGGTCTTAAAAATATGGTACGTCTGATGCGTTATCATCCCGAAAATTTGGACAATCAAATGCATATGGTGTGTATACAGCTATCACGCACCGTTCGAAATTTACGATCCCAAGTGGCTCGAGCAGCTTGCCAGGCAGCCACAGAATTGTTTACCATAAAATCCCGATATCTGGAACAGGAATGTGATGATTTGGTTTGTGCCTTGCTACACCGCACAGCAGATACAAATCGTTTTATACGAGCTGATGCTACAAGAGCTCTGGAGGCAATGTGCGATAATCTCGCCCCAGGAAAAATACTCAATATTTTGACGTCAAAAGGAGCTCAACATCAAAATGCTTTGGTACGCACGACAACTGCGAAATTATTAAATCGTCTCGCCGAACGTTTGGGTTGTGATAAAATATATACAATGCCACGAGATCATCGAGAGAAGTTGTTTGTTACCGGAGCTAATCTTCTCCTCGAGGGTAGTTTAGAAACACGTAGCTATGCCAAAACATTATTTCGAAAACTATCTCAACATGGAAATTATCAAAGAATTCTGCTGGAAATAATACCACCACGGACATATCGTAATATTGAGAAGACCTTGAAGAGTATACGTTAGGGGGAAGGTCCTCATTTCATTACAAAAAAGCATACACATATATTTGTATATACATAATTATTATTAATTTATAATTTAAAAAAAATAACATATCTTAAAAAGTAATCATATATAATATAGGGTTCATAGAACTATTTTATTTATGTAGTTTGTATTTGGCATTAATGTTCAAAACATTTAAACGATTTCATGCTCATGTTTTTGTAGTTAATAGTTAAAATGTTTTCTTATTATTAAGATTGAATGTAAAATATTTAATAATAAATTAGAATTTTAACAATATGAAATATAAACATATGTATGTAGCTTAAATTGTTCTATTTCGAATAAAAATAATAATTTAAATATATACATATTTTGAGATTTTTATTTCATTGATAAAATCCTATAAACAAACGACCGCAAATAACGATTTCCTTGTAGATTTTCTGATCCATTTTAAATTATTACTCTGATGATGTGGTTCTGCTTCGTCCAATTGCTTATCATACCTCCACCACAATTAGACCATATTCTGAAATATATAAAAAAAGTATTAATTTAATATCTGGAAATCGAAAATCAAATAAAATTTACCGTAGGATCAATGTTTGATCTCCATCAACGGTTTCACAGAATGGCCAAGCTCCTCGCTTTCATATGTTCGTCATAAACAAATGTATCAGGTCCATTTGACTTTTATGAATCAGCAGCACCTGGAAACTAACTAGAAAGAAGTAAAAAAATATAAATTTGTTTAAATCAATTTCAAAAATTTCCTATTATAAAGCGCCAAACCACTTTCAGAACAATCACTAAATACGGGGATGATCATTGTATGCTTCTGGATGCTCTGTAAATAGTCAAGAGGTTAACTAAAGTAAATAAATTTCATTAGAAATTATTAATAAATTCATTAATTAGACCCGATTAGTGCAACATTTCATGGTTTTCAGCCTCCATGAACAAGAAATACGTCTAAAACATTGGAAATATGGAAAATGGGCGGAACTGTTATATGAGGGCGTTATCAAAATTTGGACCGATATATTTTCCAAATTGATATTTATACAAATCAATGGAGCTCTCCGACAATAACAATTCACAACTAAATTAGTAAGGAATGTTCAAAAGGGGCCGACTATATGATACCCATCACCACTTTGGGTACATACAAGAGATGCTCATATGTATAATATCCTGTAGAGAGAACATACATAGCATCGTTGGAGGACTTTTGACATGAAATCGGAGAAAATTAAATATGCAATCTACACAGATATATGATGTGATTCTGACATTAATGCAAAATTCCAATTCCATCGAGCAGACTTGGAGTCTTTGGTGTACCATTTGTATGAAATCGAGCAAAGTTGTGTATGGGAACTATATGTAAATCAATCGGTACTTAATTTGGGAGTTTGGTGCACTATTTACATAAAACTTCACGTTCGTCAAACTGTATTTAATTCAGTACGCTGTGCAAAATTTTACAGACAATCGGACGAACGATATCTAAGCTATATCTGTATGTCCATGTTAAAATGTAAACAAAGTACAGATCGCAATTTTTGATCCGAACTGGATGAAAATTGTCACAGCTCATTTATTTGGCACAAGGACGAACCCTATGGAAATTGGGAAAAATCGGTTCAGGTTTAGATATAGCTCTCATATTTATTTTCGTCCGATTTAAGGAAAATTGTGCACCAATGTACCTATATATCTTTCGATTTGCACGAAATTTGGCAAAGCTTACTGAATAAGGTATAGAATGATGTGTGTTAAGTTTCATGAAAATCGGTTCAGATTTATATATACCTCCCATATATATGTTTGTCCGATTTTAGGAAAATAGTGCACCAAAGTCCCTTTATATCCTGCGATTTGTATGAAATTTTGCATCGCGTACTGAATAAGGTCTTGAATGATGTGTGTTAAGTTTCGTGAAAATCAGTTCAGATTTAGATATAGTGCACCAAAGTCGCTTTATATCCTTCGATTTGCACATAGCGTACTGAATATATATTTGTTCATTTAATGAAAATGGCCCGATTTCTATATATATATATATATATATTTGGGATACCATTGTATTTTGATTTTCCAAAATAGTCAGGCTTAATCCCAGTTTGTTGTTTTTATAAAAAACAACTATTTATTAGTGGGGAATGTATGGCATTGTCCGCCGAGGGGTAAGGCAGGGACAGCGTACTAAATTGAGTCTAGAATGATGTGTGTTAGGTTTCGTGAAAATCGGTCCAGATTTAGATATAGCTCCCATATATATTTTCTTCCGATTTAATGTAAATGGCGCACCAAAGACTCTATATATCTTTCGATTTCTACGAAATTTCGAAATATTTCGTCCGATTTAATTTAAATGGTGCACCAAAGTCCGAATATATTTTTCGATTTGCACGTAATTTAGCATAGCGCACTGAATTGAGTCCTTAATGAAGTGTGCTAAGTTTCGTGAAGATCCGTACAGATTTGGATATAGCTCCCATATTATATATTAGCGTGATTAGGGTGATTAATTCTATCAAATGCATTTTTTTATTGCCAGATAAACTAACAAGTAGGAACGTGGTACTGCCATGATGCATACACCCTTATTGGCTATCATGAAATAAAGATAGCTCATTAACATAACCAAGAATTTGCTCTTCTAAAATATACTCTAATATATTAGAGAGTATTGACATTTCGATATCGGCCTGTAAACTCTAGCATCACACAATTTTTGCTATCTTCCAAATCTCTGCCTACGGGGAGCAGAACTGAATGCTAACGGACGCGTCCATAGGATAGTGGGAAGCCCAGCACCATTCGTTGGGTAACTGTGAATAACAAATAAACAGTCGCGGACAATCAGCGGGTTCAGGGGGAGAGTCTCGGAGGAAATGACCGAGTGCCTATGATTCCTGAGCCGACGAGGCGAGAGACAATAAAGGTCTGAGACACTACCTTCTTAAAGTGTCTCCCCCTAACGCTGGGGTGTCATGCGACCTCGTGCCTTTCAGCGTTCTACGGTTTGCAGCCAGGGTCCCGGCTGTATTAGAACGGAGCCTTGTTGATACCTGGGCGCCTCAACAAGTTTTTCAGGCTTAGCTGCCAAGTCCTTACCATGGTAAGAGGCTATGCTATGGTCATGGACTTAATCCCTCACTCAAAGCACTTCTATGGAGCCATCTTTTAATACCGAATCAGCTCTGTTATGACTCGGCCTTGTCGGAAGAGCATGAAATCATGGAAACTACGGTGATAAACACAGTAGCAACCATGGCGTCTCCTGCGAAGCAAGGAGGGTCCTCCCAGCTGCTGACTAGGGAAGTAAACCCTGGCGATGTTGAGGATCTACACTCGATATCCACGGCCTGTAGTGATGTCGCGAGATTACTCAGGCAGTTGGCTCGAAGCAGATGCTGGCACTGATGAGAACCCCAACCTTAAGATGGATGATTCATCAGTACCAGTATCTGCTAGACAGGCCGATGCCAAGGAGATTGCTGCCAAGAAGATGTACCGGAGAACAGTTAACTATTGTAAATGATACACCGAACGGGATAGCGACTCTATCACGGGGAAGGAGTTCCTTTTAATCAAGAGGAACCTTAAACTCATTCGATTGACAGGATCCCCCGACCCAGTACTAGGACCATAACGGTAGTCCCTTCAAAGAAGGAGAAACCTGCTGATGGCCGTGGTACATCTAGGAAGCTGATGTCTGGGACTTCTAAGCCCTCAACACCCCCAAAGGGTAAACTGAGTGGTGTATGACCAATATCCTAATATCTCGACTAGCCGAAATGATCCTCTACGGCTCTGAACAAACATTTTCTATGTATTAAACAAATACATTGGAAACGGACATACACTCCAGTTCCAAATTAAATTTTCTTGTCCTTTTACATTATAACATGTACCACCATTTTGTTTATAATTTACACACGTTTTATAAAATATTTTTTTAAATAAAAAGAAAATAAATCATTGGAATTTTTTTGTGTATCGTAATATTATTGTTGTTTAAAATTCTAAAATTGAGTATTTTAAATAAAAAATACTAATTAAATATTATTTTATAAATACTTAAATTTAAATATAGGTATACATGCAATCCAAGCGAAATTTGTTTGACCTAATTTCTAATGTTTTAAACTATTTAAAATCCCGAATTTAATAACAAAAAATATTAAAAAAAAAATCCATTCCTTTTTTTATAAATTTGATATACATTAAAGTGTACGAATTTTGCTTGGATTGACAGTATATCTAAGTGTATGTATGTGATGGTGTACATGTAATGTCTTATAAACGAAACAAAGAAAAAAACTAACATTTATGATTTTGGCAGCAAACTATGATGTGTCTTCATAAATTAATTAATTATAGATTAAAAAAAACTTATTGAGAACAAAAAGTATATTTTTTCATGCATAATAATGGCAAAGTTTAGAAATTATTGGGGTTTAAATATTGAACAATTATGTTGAGAGAAATATAAAAATAAACAAGTTAAATATAAGAGCTGGATTCAACATCTGATCTGAAAATTTTTTTTGTTATTAAAGCAATAAGCATATATCTGGGAAGACCATAAAAGCCGTGATAGAGAAATTCAAAATTGTAACCTCATTAAAAACCACATGTATTACTATGGAAAAATATAAGCAGAAGTCGTGGTTGGATATAGTGAACTAATTTTCCCAGATCACATCGTTTTCGAAATTTTTCTATTATTAGAATACTGCGAGTTAAAAATCGAGGTGTTCACTATATCATGAGAATCACTATATCCAAGCACGACTGTAGGTCTTATTTTCCTCTTGGTTCACTATTTATTAAAGGAAGAAAAATTCTTGGCCTTTGACGTCTATTCATCCTTCTAAAATTCGGGTAACGAGAACACACAAATTGTTTAGTCGTGTTTTAACCAAAAATCAATTTGAACTTAAAAATCTTCACAGAACATCTCGGAAAGTATGGACATCTCAGACATAAAATACATAGGAAGCATACTACGTGCAATCCAAAGGACCCTGATTACAATGATACCATTTTTATTTTCTTATAGTAGTCCGTATTTTCCAAAATACGCGTATCTAAGTTTCCGTAAATAAATCAATATGGATATTATGTTGAAGGGCTTGAGATCTTGATTACAATAATATGATTTTTTCTTAAGAAATATAAACTTCACTTCTAATAGATTTCCGACTTCTCCATTTAATTCTTATGGGTGATGGATTTTTAAAACATTCTCGTATAGGCAAATACCAAGACGGGTTATGCGATTTAGTCTACTTTTAAATGTAATGTGACCGCCAATTATGGACTTCGACTGGAAAAAAAAGTATATTATTGTAACCAGGACTTAAGTGCTACGTATAGCAACCAGACTTAAATTTGACTGATGCCAAATTGTAATCAACATTCCAAATCCTATATGTAGTACCAATTTCACTCGATGCATATCCAGCTCTTATATTAAACTTAAGCCTATCAAATTAGTGGTTGTACATAAAATAAGACCCTAAGCGCGAAAATTACAATATTAATTTAAAATGTGTATAATCAAAAAAATTTGAAAATTGTATACAAGAATAAGTATTGCAAAAAATGCATTTAGATATATTAAAACAATATACAGTCGAAATGGTTTATAAGAAATTTGTGAGCTTCAAATTTGTTCTATGAGAATTTAAAAATGAAAACTATTTTTTGTTGCCAAAAATTGTTCATGTGACCCCATGGCATAATTATGAAAGGTAGTCTCATTTGAGAAATTGGAAATGTCAATAATTTTTAATATGAACCTCATATCGACCCCTCTGAAGAATAGTATGCTAAGTCTGAAAAGTGAGTTTTTCAGCAGAAGCTCTACAAGTATGGAAGTTTTTTAAATCTTACGTGCCATGCTAGGTACATTTTTGCTTATAACTTTGGTTTGGATTGGCAGATGATTACCAACATTTCAGAGAATTTAAATTAAGGACCGTAGTATCTAAAAACGTAAAGAACTTTAAAACATGCTAAGTCGACATAGCATACTATGGTTCGGAGGCGTCGATATATAAAATAAATTTCAAATAAAATAAACAACAAATTCCATAAAATTCTTTACATTGGCATATTTTCAACAAATTAAAAATGTAGTATTTCCTACAGTTACCCACTGTTCTCAGATGTAAATATGAGCGGTACAACTTGTATGAGACTACCTTGCATAATTATGCCAAGATGTGATTCTTATTTCAATTACAAAAATTTCTCATTTTACATTTTCATAGAACAAGTATTCTGCCATTGGTGTTTGGATATTCCGTTTTTTTTTTCAACATGGCCACAGTTTTTTATAATTGTCTTTTGTTTTTTTACAAATATAATATTTATTATATACCATATTTTCCAGTGTTTTTTGAAGAAGAAAATAATATATATATTAAATAATTAAATTCCTATATTATACAAACTATGTATGTTGTTATATTCTTGATATAATATATATGAAACAATATAACAAGGACAATATGGGGGCTGGTTTCTTCTGATCTAATATAGCAAAATTGAAATGAAAATGTTATCTACGATATTTATTTCCACCACGATGATCACGATCCGAATAACGATTGTTATTGCTATTCTTATTATTTTGATGATGATTATGATTATTATTGCTATTGTTGCTGGGATCCGAATAGCGATTATTGCCATTATTTTTATTGTTGTTGCTATTGTTACTTGATCTCCATTTATCGTAGTTATTTGATGTGTTACGCTGATATGGACTTGAATTCGTATGTGGTCTCATTTGGTTCGAGGCATGTTTCGATAGACGTTGTTCCTGATGCCTAGAAGAACCAGAGGGAGAGGTATTGCTATCCATCATACGTGTATTATCATTATATGATGAAAAATTACCACCACTCCTCAGTGCGGAATTGTCATAGCTGTGGCGGTGATTGTTGTTACTGTTGCTACTACCACTGTTACCACTATTTGTGTTACCAAAATTCGGAGATTTTAATGGTGGCGGCATAGTACGTCCCTTATATTTAATGGTCAATGATTTACGATATAGTGTCAGACCTTGATACAAATGCATGGCATAGGGCGGCGTGCATTTCGAGGTGTAGGTGATAAAGCCAAATGTTCTCTGTCGTCCGTTGTTGTCTTTTGGTATGCGGGCCCGTTCAATGGGTCCCGCTTGTAGAAATACTTCATAGAGCAGCTCTTCGGTAACCTTTTCATCTAGATTGGCAACAAACAGCGTTCTCTGTTCCTCATCATCTTCGTCGTCACTCTCCTCCACAACAATGGGTTCGGAAATGCGCTTATGATAGTAGTCCGGCGGTGGCGGTGAGGGCATATTGCCACCACTGTTGTTGTAATTACCCCCCATTAGATGTTGATGGATTTGCTGCTGTAATAGCTGTAATTGTACATCGTGTGACCAATTCATTATCTGAAGAATATTCTGCGTGGAGTCCCTGTGATGATTTGCTGATTGTCCTGGAGGTTGTAAATTTGATGATTTTTTAATAATTCTTTCCTTTAATAGTTCCAAAACTGATAATTAGAAATCTCCAAAAACTAACAACAAACAGAAGAACAAGAAACGAAATGTGAAAACATAGAGATACGAATAAGGGCACAAAGAGAACTGGGCGATTATTCACTTCGTTTGATAACACAACGCAATCGTGAAGTAACCACGATTTGCCAAGGGGCACTCGGCGTATAGCGTTCTTACGTTCTCTTGTGGAAATTCGTATTTTCGAAGATATACGAACAGTATGTAATGCCTGAAGTCCTCTTAATTGCATTTACTGTAGAACATTTTACCGGGTTAACCTACTTTATGAGTATTCATTTGAAGTATGTAAAATGGAATTGACAATTTAAACCCACTGGTACAATGTAAACGTAATATAATATGCTTCCCCTTTACTTTTAGCTAGACAGCAATTGAGGGATTTATAAGAAGGCCTACACATTTAAAGGTCCATGTGATTTTGTGGTGGACTTTTCCATATTCTTCGCACGGAAATGGCGTGGAATTTCAGAAAGGTAGTGATTAATCAGTTCCGGAGGTATCACCCCTCCTTGGAAACTATCGGTTTAACTAAACGGGTCTTGGACTTAGTAATTCTGAATACCGCGTACGACTGGCGTCTACACATATAATTTACGATCCAACTTTTGAAACTTGACTGGAGGGTTGTTTGCTCGACATCCTCGAACAGTTTGGCGTCAATGAATGTTTAAATTAATCTAGCTCCACCATAACTGTATTATTACACGGCATGTTCTCGTTGAGTCCTTCCGTTATATGCGTAGAAAAGGCGTGATATGATCCTTCCTTAAAATGTTGTATCCATCACAACTATTAAGACTGCAGGAGCTATTCAGCTCGTTTCCACGATCTCGTTGATTTCGGACTTCGGTGCACCATTTATATTGACGCACATCATTCTAGACTTTACATTAAATCGGACAATATATATATGAGAGCTAAATCAAAATCTGAACCAATTTTTAGGAAACTTTTCACACATTATTGTAGAATTAATTTAATGCGCTATGACAAAATTCGTGCAAATAGAAAGATATGTAGGGTCTTTAGAGGACAATTTACATAAAATCGGACGAAAATATATATGAGAGCTATATCTAAATCTGAACCTATTTTCAGGAAACTCGAAACATGCAGTACGCTATGCGAAATTTCATGCAAATCGAAATATAAATAGGGACTTCGGTACACAATGTACATTAAATCGGACGAAAATATATACATATATATATCTGAATTTGAACCGATCTTTACGAAACTTGACACACATCATTCTCGACACAATTCAGTATACTATGCAAAATTTCGTGCATATCGAAAGATAGAGAGAAACGTTGGTGCACTATTTACATAAAATCGAACGAAAATATATATGGGACTTAATTTAGTACGGTATGCCAAATTTCGTGCAAATCGAAAGATATGTAGGTACTTTGGTGCAACATTTACCTTAAATCGGACGAAAATATATGGGAGCTATATCTATATCTGAACCGATTTTCCCAATTTCAATAGGGTTCGTCCTTGGGCCAAACAAATTTTATCCAATTCGAATAAAAAATTTAACATAGACAGACGGACGGACATGCATAAATCGACTTAAAAAGTGATTCTATGCATATTCTCAAAAGGAAGCATGTGTCTATCTCGTTTCCTTTTGCCTATTATATAATACCCTGTACCATAGTGTGGTGAAGGATATTATAATAATGGATTTCTTTTCCCACATCCTTATATTTACCTAGATCATGCTTTAATAAAATGCTGTATTAATATTAGCCTATACTACGTAAGCGTTCATACGCTACATTTAGTGAATATCAACTACACGGTCTCGTAAAAAGATTCATCTACAGCACGTAGCCGTCGTAAAGCAACGAAATCAATCGTACTAAACGATTACTAACATCGTGTGTGGATACTAAAAGAGGATTAGACCAGACGTAGCGTCATTCGGTATTTTTATAAATATACCACTCGGACGGATATCGTCATAATTAACTGTACCGCAATCATAACAAAAAAATTTTTGTTGGTGGGTTAGTTAAAACGTTCTAGGATACCATCACCAAACCTGGTATTGACGGCGCTTTGCAATAACTTCACAAAAGAGCACAAAAATAACGATAATTGAAGTTGAATAATAAACAAAAATTCAATTAATCCAAAACAAAAATCCCCCAGAATCGAATGTATTTTGACGGAGGCATGGACGACGATAGGTTATTGGATTTGGTTGAGGCCAATGATATTATCTACAATAAGGCACATCCCTACAATCACAGCTATGAGCGGAAAAGAAAAGCGTGGAATAAAATTGCCGCGGAATTGGGTGCACCAGGTAGGAGGGTAGTGCATAAATCTACTAAGCAATTGTGGAATCATGAATATGCTTTCATTTACAGTGGACGACTTGGTGAAACGTTATCGTGTGCTAAGAGATCGTTTTGTACGCTACAAACGTGTGGAAATGTTAACTGGTTCCGAAAATAAATATCGTTCACCCATTGTGGATCGCATGGAATTCCTGACACCCCATGTCTTTGTAAAAAGGTGAGATAAGCTAATCAACAACAACATCATAAATGTTATAATCTAAATTCATACATTTACAGTTCAAATGGTGAGAAAATAACATGGACCGGTCCGGTCAAAGATGAACAGCAGCCCAACACATCCACCACCCATCAAGTAATGGCATCTTCAATATCACCCGTGCCCGATGAATCAGATACCTATTTGGAAATGCAATATTCATCATCACCCGAACGACCAAATCAACCGATTGCGGGTGTTAAACGAAAGGCCACCTCTGCATCGTATGCCGGTGGCGGCAATAATACACCAGTGATTAGTCGTGATAGTCCTGTAAATACCCACAGCAATAATAACAATAACACCGAAGCTGATGAAGCTTTCCGTGAGGCTCTGAGCACATTCAAGAAAATGTGTAAAGCCCGCGAAGAGAGACAAGAAAATGAGGCCCTGCACGGTTTTGGTCAAATGATTATGGCAACAATAGCTGGCATGAGTGCCAGCAAGCAGACCAAAGCCATGATGCGTGTCACCGAGTTGGTTATGCGTATTCGAATGGAGGAAGAAGATTAGATTTTATATGTATATAGATATTAATTCGAAAGGAAATGATGCATTGACGTGATTTTTATTTTAAATTTTTAATTGTATATTATATTTTTAAGTATTTGGCATGCGGAAACTATTGAACGTAATTTTTGATTAGTTTTAGGTAATATTAATGAAAACTTTATATAATAAAAACAATATTGATGCCATTTAAGAAACCCTGCATATTATTATTACATGTTATATACCATAGAGAAAGAAATAAAATAATTGATTTAGTATATAAGAATAAGGCAAGTTTTTCGTTTCTGTTATATAAAGCAATTGTCATTTTGGCTTAGAGATCAAATGAAATGTAGGTCGCGTATAAATTTTAACAAAAACATGTGGTATTGTTAACCACGGTATACATTTCCTTCTCACATGTAACTCTAGACATATAGTTCTTCGCAGCATTCATCATAAGGTGAAGTGTACATTAGATTTGTCATTCCGTTTGCAACACAACGAAATATTCGCCGGAGACCCCATTAAATATATATATATATATATATATATTTGATCAGAATAAAATTCTATATCGATGTATGAGTAACCGTCTGTATGTCTAATGAAATCAAGATAGAGTTCGAAATATTTGAGATAGAGCTTTGTACTGACATTGCTATAGAAAATGGGGTATATCGGGGTATATTTTGGCATAGCCCCCAAATATTCGATATTAAAATAATTTTTTACACTTTTCCAACCGAATTGGCTGAAATTTGCTACCTTTGGTTATCAAATCTTCCAGGGCGTACGCAGGGGGGCGAATTTTTTCATTTTGTACTACCTTCCTACCAAAAATTATAAATGGCCGTTTGAACATACCAAAAAGTGGACCTATACCGGCAATTCTACAAACCGATTTATGTAAACCATAATTTACACCAAATACAAATTTCAGCAGTTTTTAATGGAGTTTTTTTCCTTAAGAACCCAAAAAGTGGGCCGATATTTGCGACGCATGGTAGGGTAGAACATCCCCAAAATATTGCAATTTAGAGGCCACGGTTGTATTAGATTATCATCAACGTACACAGGTTTTATTTCGGCAGGTTGGGTGGAAGCTGCTGGTTCAATATTAAAATTGTACGTCCGTGGAGGCTATATGAGGCGCTATGCCTAATTGAGGACTGATATAGCTAAATTTCGAAACTAACTTTTTTGCATCACAATACCTTCCTTTACGCTAAATATTCAAATGCCGAAAATCTGTATTTAAGGGGCTAGGCCCAACTGCGGACCAATAGTTTTTTTTAATGACGAAATTTGGTACCCAATAACAACTCAATGTACCAAGTTTCAGCGAATTAGGTTGAAAAAGAACCCCAAAATACCGAAAATTGGGTACCTTTCTATGGGAGCTATGTCTAAACGTGGGCCGATATAACACATCTTCGAACTTGACATGCCTGCAGACAAAAGACGGCTCTATACAATAAAATGCTGTATTAATATTATTTCAATAAAATGCTGTATTTGTATTAGCCTACCCTACGTAAGCGTACATATGCTATACGCTTCCATTTAGTGAATATCAACTACTCGGTCTCTTAAAAAGATTCATCTACAGCAAGGTATATTTAATAAGGTAGCCGCATCGGCCCAGCTGTTGGTGCAAATAAATGTCAAAAATGTTGTTGTAATGTTGAACCAAAAAATTAAAAAAAAACAAAATTATAAATGAAAATCTCCGAATTTCGAATAGATTTTTTGGCAATACTTTTATTAACATTTTCAACAAGAATTTGTGTAAAAAA